AAAAAAAAAAAAAAAAAAAAAAAAAAAAAACCGAAACTTTTATCGGAAATCCTCGCTCTACGACATTTTTCCACTTACCTTTGCACGATACTCTGGTCGTACCACGTTTTCCCTTTACTTTCCCATGCATATATAAATATCTTACATCTATCGTAATATTTACATAAATTAATTTTACGTTAACGTTACGTTACGTTAATTAATTCTAGCCGAATATACGGTCGTTGGTATTTCTTCTTACAAATTAATTTATCAAAATACCTGAAGACGGCAAAATTCTGTCCGAGAGCAGCTACGTGTTTTACTTGACCCTTGTCCAATTGAGAACTCTCTAACAGGGCAAACCACCCGTTCGGATAAACCGGAGGAAGCTTACCCAATTTACGCTTTTTCGATTCCAAGTAATTGGCTAAAACTCTTTTGTTGTCACCTTCGAATCTTAGGTCCTGAAAAGAGCAGAGCCAATTATCTGTGGAGCTTGTTAATAAAAAATTAATAATACGTATAACGGTTTTTATCATTTTCAACAAAGTGGTAATTTTCATAAGTGGTAATTTTCATAAAGCGATAGTAACATCGATAAAATCATCGTTCGCTAAACTGAAGATTATGACGTGCAAAACATGGAAGCGTATCGCGTTTCCTTTTTGCGGATAGAAAGAATCGCTGATACGAAGAAAAAGGATATTCTTCTGGCGTCACGCGTAAAAAGAAATCTGCTTCTTCGTTTGTAAACATAATGTCATCGTGCTGCCTTCTGTACGCACCTGTGTGTATCGTTTGCGTTAAAAGTGTATGAATTCGGCTAATAGAAATACGAAAAGAGTGCGAGCGTCGACAAATTTTAGTAAATCTTCTTTTCCACTTTCACGTTTTCGAGGAATCAATATAGACGTTAACGTTTCGCCGAAGGTAATTTTATCTTACTTATATAAGTAACGTTATTAGCCCTTGATGCGTAGATAATAATACTTGACGATATCTATTTCTTATTCTTTATTAAATCGATAAAAGCAGGATACTTGGCGACGGTCGAAACATCGTGGTACGCGTAACTTTAAAACGTCGATACAGTCTCGATCGAAATTTCATGGAAATTTCATGGAAATCCAACGTGGTTCTCTCTCTCTCTCTCTCTGTCTTTTCTTTTCACTTTTTCACATTCTTTTATAGAATAAAATTTACCGGCAGCTCGTCGTTATTTCATTTCAATTGTGACGTCACGTAATTAATAATATTTTATTTCGATAATTTAACAAACTGCTGTAATTTCAATTACTCTGAAATCTCTTTTACAAACGGAAAATATCGATCGGTTTGAATTTGAACAGTGGCGAGAAGCGGAGTAAAAGATGCGATATAAGTAGGTAAACCGGGCAATGGTATCGAAGAGGACTCACCTTGATCCAGTTGATCTTGTACAAATAGGAAGCAAGGAGAATACCAAAAAGCAGAAGAAAAGCACCACCGAGGCTCCACCATCCGGCCATCGTTGTCTTCTTCACCCTCTGCCCCCGAACGAAGAAAAGCAAGTGCACTCTAAAAACTTGTCCCTCTGGAACACCTTCGGAACCACCTCTCTTATTCTCCTTGCTCGCGCTTCTCCTCTTTCTCTCTTTCTTTTCTCCTTTCCTTTTCCACTGCCACTCGGCGGCCTCTTCTCTTTTTCCTTCCTTCCTTTTTCCTCTCCTCCGGCCTTCTTTCTCGGCACCTCGTTTTCCTCTTCTTTCTCTTCTTTCGCTCCTCGCCACTCTCTCTTCCTTCCTTCCTTTCTCCTCCCTCTTGCTCTACCTTTTCTCCCTTCTTTCTTTTCTTCCTCTTCCACTAATCCCGCTCTTCGTCGCGTTGCTCTTATTTTTTCTCCTCCCTCCCCCTTCTTTTAATATTTTTCTACACCTGTTCCGTACACTTGTCTTTCGAACTTTGTTATGTTTTCGAACCTCCGCTCCTGCATTCGTAATTCTTTGGCCGCTCGTCGATCTTCAGCCGTTCTCAAATTTGCCGATCGCAAAACGAAAAGAAAAAGGAAGAGAAAAAAAAGAAGAAAAGTGAGAAAAACCGATAGGAACGAGATATCACGTCTGTCGATTCCAGTTCACTCGATCTCTTCTCTTCTTCGTTATTTCTTATCCTCCATACTTGTTAGTCACGCGAACTTATTCTCTTCTTCTATTTTCTTCTTTCTCACGCGCGTCCCTCTCGTTAACGGCCTCTTAACTCTTCTCGTTTCGTACAATGTATCGGTCGTCGCGTTCCCTTGGCTCGTAGTACGATTCCGTAGTACGAGTATCAGGTTTAACTAACTCGACGTCTAACGCGAATGGTTATCGTGTCCGATCTCCGAGTATAGGTAGTTAGAACGAAGGGGACGATAGTTCGATAGAATTGGAAAAAGCGAAGAGGCGCGCAGGAGGGTCTACCAGACAGACGGATTCCGAACCCTCGATCGTTTTTCGAACGACTGAGCCACTTCGTCCTTAGACGGAGCCTTTTATACCTTTCCGAGGTGTACCAACGTCTCCGACAGTGTCTATTGCGGAGGACCCATCGACCTTTCATCGGTCACATCTTCCATTTTCACTCGAATAGAATATCTTTCTCCCGGAAAAGTTTATTTCAACCGTGAACGATCCGTGAAATTTCAACCGTGAAAAAAAATCGACAAACTAATCGCACCTCGCCATCTATGTTTTTTTTACGATCCGTCCGATTTTTCGGATTCTCATTTTGCACGAATTCTTGCGCCGATCGTTCCCACTTAAATACCGCTTATTCGTTAGATTTCCTACTACTAATTTCCTGTTACGTACGTTTGCGTTTCTTCGAACAAGTACGTACATCGTGATAGAAGAAAATATATTCAAATCGTGTAACAACTTTCGACGAGATCATTTTTATCCTTTACTTTTATCGTTTACGATCGATTATTAAATTGTAACGCGTTTCGTTTTACGATAGAGGCTATATCGCAATGGCGCTTATGAAATGTAATACATAACCCATCGTGGCTATTCAAATGTCGAGGAATATTTGTCAGTCAGAAATCGTATACCTGGCCTTTCCAGCGAATGTCGATCGAGCCCCGATCACATCGGTTACCACATTTTTCCGCTTAGAATTATGTACAGCCACGACCGATTTCCAAGTCCTTGTTGCATATCTTTTCTTCTATCGCGAATCGTTCTGTTTCTGCTTACCCTCCTTGTCTTTTCTTTCCCAGGTTTCGTTTTATCAACGCTGTCGATCGATTTCCGACTGTTTCTATCTTTAGTCCTACGCTTTTCCGCATTTATTTTCCCCTCGTTTCGTCTTTTCCGCTCTTTTCCACCGCCTCCCTTCTTTGTATCTTACGATCGGCTATCGATTTATGCGATGGTTACCGTGATTTTCGGTAAATCACCGACCCCGAGTCTTCTCCGGTCGGGACACGCAACATTTTCTACCTTCGAACTACGTGAATAATATCGTACGTTTAGTTTAGAGACGTCGTTTGAATTTTAAACCGGGCCACGGAACATCTAGGTAAGTACGAACTTTGAAATCCTAGAGAGTTCAAGGTCGCCGGCAATTTATATGTAACGCAACCAAGTACTGCTTTAAACAGTTGTTTCTAGCGGCAGAAACAAATATCCGCTCGTGGAATACCGCACAGTTGAAAAGTATCCTAGAGAAATGTTTACCGAATTACGCGTTTAAAAATTACGCGTTGATAAATAATCATTACGTTCGACGGTCTGGAAATAATCGGAATATAGGCATCGAAACAACCAGTTATTTCTCTGTTAAAAAAGAAATTCTGCTCCTGTCGTTTGAAAAAATATCTTGTCCCTTGTGGAATTTTTATGGGAAAGAAATGTTACTCTTAGGAACGTTTTTATCAGGCGTTCTCATAGAAGAGACACACCGGGATCACTCGGGACAAATGGGACACACTCGGCATTCGTATAATAAGAGTTCCATGGAAACGAGTTATTCCAGAGTTATTCCAGAGAACGATTGTAAAGGAAGTACCACAAGACAAAAGTATCGTACCGTTAAGTATCGGTTTCATTTAACGATACATTAATATCACTTTATTCGCACGTTTATCGAATAAAAGGTATGAAAACCAAATAACATAAGCAATATCAATAGTTTCGTAAAAAGTACCGAAAAGGTACTTTAAGGGAACTATAAGGGAAAGGTACTACAAAAGAAAAGGGAACTATATATAGAACTCTATATAGCAATTCTATGATGTATTATAATATATTATATATGTGTATCCAGTAATTGCCTAGATGTTTATTTCCAAGGGAAACACAAACGAGCTTTCGATTGTGAATCATTTACCTAAATATTGCAAATAAATTCACACTATTCGGACTATTTTTCTGTTATTGTACTGTTCAAACGAATAGTATGCGACGTTTGCTACAATACGATAGAATCGAGAACTTATTTAATATCGATGAATAAGATATATCTGTTCCTGTCATAATTTTATAAGTTCACGTCACTTCACACTTCACACTTCACACTTCACACTTCACACTTCACATAGAATCCCTTAAGAAGCTCCGCAACTTTTTCGGTCCCTGACTGTTATTTTGCTGTTATAACGTGATAAAATAAAAAAAGAAAAGAAAAAGAAAAAAAGAGAAAAAAGAATGGACCGATAGGCAAGCAAAAGTCGATATATACAGTTGTGCCTTCAATTTTTTTAATAATATTTATAACGAAACATAACGAGCGTTTTCCACTTAAATAGTGGTTAGTGGCATTTAAAAAGTTTCGACGAAAACGAATAGATGTAATTAAAATTTTAAAAGAAGGCGACGAGTAGACGAATTTCCATCACATTTTTACAAAGAGAACCAAAGAAACGAGACCTATGTGATAATGTGTTTCGTCTACTGGAAATTACGGCGAGCACGCCACCTTGAATATTTTATACGTCTTTGTATATAAATTACCATTTACGTTGATAGAAAAAATGATAGAAAAATGATAGAAAAAAAGAAGATCGTAGAAGAAGGTGGAGGAAGAAGGATGGTCGAGTAAAGTAGTTAGCGTAATGGGATGCGAGTAACTTGCTTTTTATTTATGCAGAGCTCATAGGTACATTAAATACTTTACAGAATGCCAAAGATATTTAATTATACGTATCTTTCAATTCGTACACGCTTAATAGTCAATTCTTCTCTCGTTGTTCATTAATGTTCACAGGCATAATCGCATCAAGATGGAAAAATTGAATCAATGGTAGAGTCAGAAAGATTCACTCGTACACACACGCTATTTAAAAGTATCAACTACAATGTCGATTAATCGGCACACGAATTTATAAACGGCTATTTAAAACGCTTCACCGGCTACGTTTCTTTTTCACGATTAATATTTTATCGAATACACACGATTACAATTAAAAGACACAATTGTTTAACGAACCGACACGCAGGAAGGTCGGATAATCGACGATCGAGCGAACCAATGAACCGTTGTCATTCGATCGTTCGGTAATTGACTCGGCGAGTAATACAGTTAAATAAACGAGTATCGATACAACGGTCTTAATCTTAAAATTACAATTCGGTAATTTACGAAACAAATAGATAAATGAATTAAACGGACGAGATTAATTCGTTTATGTATCGTATCGCGCGATATAATATTCGTATACTACAATAATTGTAAGTCGTTCGTTCGGAGATTTATGGTATCACGAACAAGCGATTAACGTGATCGATCACTTGCAAAGTAAAAGTCAAGGCACAGCGGTGAAGAACCAAAAGTAGCAATATTTACGGACAAACAAGAAAACAACGTAAACGTCTCTTTTTTTCTCTTTTTTGTCGAACGGATTGTCTTCGTTTTCTTTTCACCCGATTGTTAACTTCGTCTGTAGGACAATTCAACGGTAAAAAAAATTTGTTTTCTACGAAACAACGAACAATGGGGAAAACAGATTTTTTTTAACTTAATCGTCGAAAGAAAACGGAACGTCCACGTGAAACTTTGTTTAAACGCGAGTATTCTACGCGAAAAGTACGATAATATTGACCATTCTTGCGCACAATTTATCTCTTAATATCTTATGCGTAAACATGGAATACTTTCAGCCTAAAATACCTTCTCTTTTCCAATCCTTCGAATATAAAACAAAAACACAACCCGGTTAAACGTTAACTTCAATTTTTCAAGCTCAGGTGATTAACATTAACTCAACAGCTGGCATGTTAACATTAACGAAAATAAGAGAGAACGACAAACTTAACAAGAACAAAGGGAAACGCGGTTAAATTTTTTTAACAAAGAACTAGGAATTTTCGTAACGTCGTTTGAAAATCAATGACTGACAAATAAACGAGGAACAAACTTAACGAACCAATTGTTTAACGGGCTAGAAAACGAGAACAATTATTTAAAAACTGAACAATAATTTTCTTACTAATCATTATAAAACGTTAACTAAAACAAACCTCAACTCTTCGCTCTACTCGTCGCTCCGATTATTTTCTATCGTTGTTATCATTTAGGAAGTCGGAAGTAAATTAAAAATATTATTACAGTCGATTCTACGATTTTGTGTTCAACACTGCACGTTTTTCGTCGAGTAGTACGTTTTTCGAGTACATCATTTTTACCTGCTATCCCGAAAGTTAATAACATCGATTCTATATTGTCAAAACGATCTCTGAATTTCCAACTGAATTTTCTCCATTCTATTTGGCTTATAAAATGGTGCAGAAAAGGCGGAGAATTTAAAAAAATTGATCGATCTTGAATTTTGAATCTTTTTTGCGCGATTTTGACTAAAGTAAACGATAACAAATCAATCTCTATCATCTCCTTCCTTCTTTTCTTTTTTTGTTCTTTCTTTCTTTTTTTTTCTTTTTTTGTTCTTTTCTTTTTTGGCAGTTTCAGCTGATAACCTTTAATTTTAATTCACGAGCGATCCGAAAGCTTTAATTTAAATATAGCTTTTATCTGCTATGTCAATTTCTACGTTTCGTTAACTTTGAGATTTTGTTAAAATTTTAGAATTTCGATGTAACTGAAATGCCAATCAATGGAATTATTATCGCGATACTATGTTTGGCAACTGATTGTCGTTGCTTCTTGTACTTTTGCTTTTGTTTGAAAAAGTTCCAAAAGCTCCTCTTCGTTCTTCGGTTTATTCATTTTTTTCGGTACAATGATTCTCAAATTTATAAGTTTGAAAAGTTGCGTTGGAAAAAATTTTATCAATACTATTTTATTTTAATTTTATCAATACTATACTAAAAAAGTTTATCAATACTATTTCTCGCTTCTATTTTCATGCTATGAAATTTTGTTCGATCTTCCGATGTGTATTCGGCTCGGGAATCTCTAAATTTTTCAAATTTCTCTTATCCTTTTTCGTTTTTCCCTTCTTTCCTTTAAATCGAGCTTTCTTCTTCCCCTTTCTCTTCTTCCTTCGTCATCCGCTTTGTACTTCTCTAAACGTTCCCGAAACTTCAACAATCGGGGTTTTGTGCTTTGGATCCTGTAGAGTGTTTGACGCGCCCTTTCGTGCTTCTATTTTTCACAGTAGTAGCCGTC